AGGGAGCAGGGGACCTGGCCGGGGCCGCGCTCCCCGCCACAGGGCAGCTCCACGTACCCCTGACGAGACGTAGACCGGCACAAACACCCAGGCCAGTGCCAGAAGAGCGTAGGTCGCCTGTTGGGAAGGAGGAACATGGCACAGCCTGAAAAAACCCTGATCCTGTGGCAGTTCAACATTGACTGCAACACGAGAGCCCATCTGCCCCTCCTGACCCAGCCCCAACTCGCCCTCAGATGCACATTTTACATCCCCAAATGGCTTCAGACAGCAGGCTTGGGGGCCCAAGCCTGTGGTGGAGACGCCCCTTTTGGGGCCACAAGCCTGTGGTGGAGACCCCCCCCCCCAGAACCCCCACCAGCAGAAGCCCGCTCCCCTCAGCCCTTCAGCCCCTGACCAGACATTTCCCACCAACTCCTCGAGCACCAAGCAAGCCAGATGCTGCATTTTTGCTGCGAAACCCAAGGACTTTGGAAGCAACGGGACTGGGTGACCTCTTTGGCCATCTCCCTGTGAGGGTCACGCAGGGGCTGGGCCAGGAAGCTCTGCTCTGAAATGTCCTGTTCCCTGAGCGCATGGGCTTCGGCTGGCTCCAAACTCACTGCACATACACTAGACGTGAGCCAGAGAAGCTGAGTTAGCAGGGTTGCGTTAATTACCCCCTGCACGACTCCTCCCAACTCTTTCAAGACGTTGCATGAAGCCACTGTGAAATGGGCCATCTTCTGCGACACAACTTGAGAAATTAATTTTCTTAATAGCGCGACGGGTTTCTTACGTTCCACTCGAAGCCAGTGACAGCGATTCCCCCGGCAGCACCGGTCCCGGCCAGCCCAATGAAGAGCCCTGAGCCTTCGCTGCTGGCGAAGAGAGAGGCGCCGATCTGCGGAGGAGCAGAGGAGGTGCTGCGGGTGCCCAGCTGCCGGCTCCCCACAGCGGTCGTGCCAGCTGGACCAGCTCCGCTCCTTCCCCAGCAGCACAGCCCCAAGGGGAAAACTTGGTGAGAGGAGGCAGCAAAAATGATGTCTGAATGGGAGCAGCAGAGCCCAGACCTCCCCGCCACTTCTAAAAGTGAAGTGTGGCCAATAATGCACCATGTGTGATGAGGGACTTGTACAGATTGTGCAAGGAAAATCCTTAACAGACTCCAGTCCAGGCAGACGTGAGCCCCAGCAGCCAGCGTTCCCTCGCATTCAGCTCATCCGGGCATCCCCGGGGGGTTGGGACAGACTTTCTTGTCTTCAGGAGGATGAGGAAGAGCCACACGCTGCTGCATTTGCCACAGTGGCCACGCACCCTGCCCGGAGGTGGCCCTGTGCAAGGGAAGGACCTACAACCAGTTTGTCAAGGTCATACTGAAATAAAAGGAGAGGAAAAAAGAAACCGGGGACACCCATGTCTCAGAGCCACGAGGAGCAACGCGTGACTCCAACAAGCCCAAGTTCAGAGCAGCCTGTGAGGAGACCCTCCAGAAGAAAAGGAGCCAGGTGGGCTGCAGAACCCTGGGTGCCATGAGAAGGGCTGCGAGGACCGGAGTCCTGGCAGGAGGTCTACAGGGTGGGGAGAAGCGTGGGCAGGTAGGGGAGAAAGTAGGGGCACAGAAGAGGGCATCTGGTGGGAGGGACAGTGGAGCTGGGTGTCCCTGCTGCCTGGGGTGTCAGAAGAGGGACAGGGCTCTACTTACTGGCCACCACGCCATGTCTCTGCCCGCAAGGAAATAGCTGCTGACGGTGTTCCTGGTCACCCTGCATGAAGACTGGGAGGAGAAAAGATCAGCGTGGAGCACCCTTCCCTGCAAACCCAGACAAGAAACCAAGTCTCCCAGACAAGAAGCCAAGAGACAGGAGACTCTGGATAATTAATGGGAGCTCAGCAGCTTGAGCTTAATTACACGAAAAGGTGGCTGCACCCCCAGTACCTGGAGCCATGAATAGCAAAGAAGGCACCCCGAGAGCGGGAAGCACGGAGGATGTGCCCGCCCGGCCGCCATCCTGAGCAGACAGGCTGGCTGACGGGACTCGGCTTTGGCTACGATTTTTTTTTTGCAAGGCTTTGTAGAGCCTTTGTCTGCAACCACGGGTTGCTGAGGGCTTTTTGTGTTAAGCAGGGCATTTGTCTCAACACCCTTCAACAGGCAAGGAGGAGATCTGCTTACGCCCAACAGACCGGGGGAGAGGTTTGTGCCATGGTTAATTCCGCCCCGTTTTCAGGCTACCGGCGTCTTTCCGCGGGGGGTGAAAGGGGCAGAGGGTTTGTATAACAGCAGAGCGAATGCAGCACAACACACAAAACACGTAACAAGTGCAAATTACAACAGGAAAATAATAAGAGGCTTTCAAAATATTCCACGCAGAAAAGCCAGCCCTGGAAAAAAAAGACTATTCAGAAAAGAAAGCAGAAACAAGAGAAAACGCTCTTACCCATATTCCCACTGCAACGTTTAAGGCAAAATAAACCACTACAACAACAAGGTCAGCGACGCTGAACTGCTGTGAGGGGGTGAAGGATCCGGCAGTGGAATTGCCCTCCATCATTCCTCTGCCTCCTTCTTCACCCTCGGCAAAAGCCTCCTGCAGCCAGTCACGGAATCAGTAACTCGTTAGCAGCACTGAGGGCATTGATCATTAAACCCGCCAGCTTCTGGAGGTGCTCGGCCGGGCAGCCCGGCTGTTCACCGC